ATCGCACCTTCCACATACGAGCTGCCGCACTCCGAAGAGGAGCTGATGCAGACAGGGTTTTCGCCGCAGAGGCGTGCTCAAGAAAATCTAAGGCTTCTCCGTTTAGCCTCCCTCCAATCTCCATCGCAACTACAATCAATTTGAGCGTAGGGCAATCCACGAGTTCGGGGTAGGTATTGTGTTTGTCTCTGATCGCCCTGCGTATAGCAATACCTGATTCCGCGGAGGCTCTGGGGAAAAGAAAGCCGTTAATATGTAGAGATACCATCGTAACGTCTACCGCCAGCGGGACGCCTCGTTGGTAGGGCAAGCCCGTTGCCACAATTTCAATTTTGCGGCCGTCCGATGGGTCGATGTTTTGTACAGCAGTATCGGCCATTAATCTCGTCCTTCAATCAATTCATCATGTTATGTCTTGTTTGCAATATTTTCGCATTTGTTTGAGTAGACGTTTCTCCTCTTGAGCTGTATACCTCCTCGGGCCCTGCTTTTTTATTCCCTACCTAGCCTCTGCCTAGAAGGGTTTTATTATCTTGGCTTGAAGGGGCCGGACAATGCACCCCGCCCCGGGCGGTTCCCCCAGTCCCGTGGGAGCCAAACGAAAGCAACAACAAAGTAAAAACAAACGCGTGGTTCCCCCAGATGCGCTCCTTGGGTGCTAAACAAAAGCAAGGCAAAAGCGAAGGCAAAGCAAAAACATAGCATAGCATAACATAACATAGCATAGCACGGTGGCAACCGTTTCAGAAAAGAAATACAGCAGTTTCAGAAAAAGGCCGGTTTCAGAAAAAGGGCGTGCCCTTTCAGAAAAAGGCTGAGCAGTTTCAGAAAAAGGGCGCGCTGTTTCAGAAAAAGCGTGGGCGGTTTCAGAAAAAGTCTGCGCGGTTTCAGAAAAATGCTCCGCCCCCGATTTGTTGCCCGGGCTCCTGGGCCTCGGCCCGACCTTGGACCGCGGGCCCTGGACTTTTGCACCCGGACCCCCGCCGTTTTTTTCTCAAACGGTCGTTGCCGCATGGCCGTGCTCTGTTTCGGGAGGAGCGCGGAGGAGGCTGGAGGAGGCAGGAAAACGACGGGGGAATGAAGCGGGCGTGAGTGAGACTGGGAGGGTTGGATTCGGGAGAGGCACCGGAGTCGGAGTCGGAATCGGAGTCGGAAGTGGAGGAGGACCGAACGGGAATCGAAGTCGGAGCCGGACGAACATCCGGAGCAGGAGTCAGAGCCGGAGGAGGCCGGAACGGGAGTCGGAATCGGAGTCGGGAGTGGAGGAAGACCGAACGGGAATCGGAATCAAAGCCGGAGGAAAATCTGGAGCCGGAGCCGGAGTCGGAGCCAAAGGAGGCCGGAACGGGAGTCGGAATCGGAGTCGGAAGCAGAAGAAGACCGAATCAGAATCGGAGCCGGACGAAAATCCAAAGCCGGAGTCGGAGCCGGAGGAGGCGAACCCCTTCCATTCCGACTCCCGATTCTGTGCCCTAAGGCTACCACGCCCTAGCGCCAGTACTTCCTAGGGCTAGCACCCCTTAGCGCCAGTCCTTCCCGGCACCGCCTCGGACTAGCTTTCCTTAAGACTAGTATTCCCTAGGGCTGGTACTCTGTAGTGCGAGTACTCCCTAGGACGATTACTCCTTGGACGAATACGCCCTGAGGTAATAATTTCTAGGACTGGCACTCCCTGGGGCTAGCACTCTCTGCGGCTAGTATTCCGTAGGATTAGTATTCCCTATGACTGGTATACCTAACACGAACATTACAGCACCATTACCACAATACCATTGCCACAACACCACAACACCGCTACCACAATACCACAACACAGCTACCTCAATACCACAGCCACAACTAACACCCAACTGACCACACTAACACCCAACTGGCCACACTAACAACCGGTCGCAGAGGGGGAAGGCTCGCGCGTACTTTGAAAAAAAGAAGCGTGGCGTCTTGTTCGGTGTTTTCTGGGGTCATTCTCAAGAACGTCGCCTTTCGAAGACATCCCAGCATCAAACGGGCAGGCAATCGGGGGGGAACCAGCCGGAGCATCAACGACAAAAGGATATCTACTGCCAATGCCCATGTGCGCGACCGAAGGGGAATAACCAAAATGAGGGAAGATATATCAACGATAGTGACAAATATCTGCCGGGGTGTGTCTGCTAAGCGCGCGGCCCATTTGTAAATAGACATATAAATGCCCATGTACCCACAGAAATGCTTATCAGGGTGATCGCGAAGATTCACGTACGGAAACGTGCAATTATGGATGTAAATGGAAAGAAATATATCGGTAAGCAATCCGCGTAAAGCTCCAAATGCTGCGGATGTGGCAGGAGATAGGAGGTAAAACATGTTAAAAGAGGTGGGATGTAGGGGGGAGTCGGAGGAAGCAGGAGGTGGTAGGAAGGCGCACGGGGAAGCAATAATAGCGCTCGAGCCGATTATTTGGACTTCCTCTGTGAAAACTGTTGCTGTTTTAAATATTTCATCGTATTTCTTCGTACGTCTGTTTACGGCCGTGTCCGGTGAATGTCCGCCGGGTATTCAAAGGGGCGTATGAATTTGAATGTGATGAACACTGGCACTGCCGCGGAAATTGCACGTCCTTTTCTGAATTGGGTACCGTTGTTTTTGAAACGAAAACATTTGATTCTGAAGCAATCCCAGCTTTTTCTGAAACGGCGAACGTTTTTCCTGAAACGGTTGCTGCGTTTTGTGAAACGGCATTTTTTTCTGAAATTGCTGTGTTCTTTTTCTGAAGCGGCGGTCGCCCTAGCATAGCATAGCGCAGCATAACATAGCGCAGCATAGCATAGTATAGCATAACCTAGCCTACCCCACAAAATCATCGTGCAGCATAGCATAGCATAACATAGCATAGAAACACAACATCCACTATTGCTGCTGTGAAAAATCGTGCGGTGTAGGTCGGATCCGGAGAATTTTCAAGCACACATGGTGAGCGAATGCAAAACCATGTGTGTGTGTGTGTCTGTGCGCAGGCAAAGCAACAACAAAACCAAGCAAGCAACAAACATAAAAGCAAAGCAAACGCAACAACAAAAGCAAAGGCAAAAGCAAAGGCAAGAGCAACAGCAAAGGCAATGCAAATCAAAAAGCAAAACCAATGCGAAAGTGCAGATGTAGATTTAGATGTAGGTGTAGGTGTAGGTGTAGATGTGGATGTAGGTAGGTGTAGATGTAGATGTAGGTGTAGATGTGAGTTTCGCTGCTGATGTAGATGTATATGTATATGTATATGTAGATGTAGATGTAGATGTAGATGTAGATACGGATGTAGCTGTAGGTGTAGATGTAGATTTAGATGTAGATGTAGGTGCCGTTGTATATGTAAGTGTAAGTATAGCTGCAGATGTAAGAATTCTAGGGTGTCTGCCGTCCCCGTGTTAGTGCTGGCTTGATTTTAGGGAGAAGGCCCTGGTCCCGACTCTCGCGGACCCCCCTCCCGCCATCTTTGTGATCGAGACGGATGCGTTTAAGACCCACGGCTGGATCTACCACGTTTGCAGCGACTGCAAGGTGGTCCCCGGAGAATGGCCCGTTGACTGTGGATGCCGAGCGCTTTCCATGCGCGGCCGACATCAATTACAAAGATGTCTGAGTGGCGTGAAAGCTTGCGCCGCGAACGTAGCTTCCTGCAAGGCTGGCGCGTGTTGTTCCGCATGGGCAACGCGCCAACAATTCAGTGCGTTGTCCACGTCTGGTACGGATGGATCCCGCACTTTGAGACGTCGTCCGGTCGGTTCGAATCATCCGAATGGGTGGCACTCCGCTGGGCAATGGCAATTCATTTGCCAAGTCGCATGAATAGAATTGCGAACGCGGGCTTTCGAGACAACACTATTGGGGCACTTTGGGAGACGGGCGACCTAAAACATGCGAAATGCTTTTTCGCGATCTGCAAGAACGGTGCGGGGAATCGTTCGCAATCGATTGGTTTTTTAATGTCTGGTGCATTCCAATCGGGCCATCACGGCGGACTTGCTCGTGCGCGTAATGCTCCTCCTGCCAGAGGATCGTGAGGCACGGCTGCTTCTTTTATCCGTTCCGAAAGACACGGGTTTCCATAATTGAACACGGAGTCCCATAATTGAAACACGGGTTTCCATAATTGCCAACACGGGTTTCCATAATTGCCAATGTGGGTTTGCATGACTACTACCACGGGTTTCCATGAGTGCCATCACGGGTTTCCATAACTACCACCACGGGCTACCATAACTACCACCGCGGGTTTCCATGACACCGCGGGTTTGCATAATCACCACCATGAGTTTCCGTAATTCTCATTTCACAACTACCACCAATTAAGAACCCGCACGCCCGCAAACGAAAACCCTAATTTATTATTGCTAACGATGATTCGTCCGCGCATACACCGGTAATGTTTTAATTCAGTGGCGACCTGCAAACGAGGAAACATGTAATAAAGCTACATAGTTGGGTAATCGGTAATATTGCCCGCATTGGTATGTATGTTTTCGTTGATTATTACGTGGTCGGCCCATTATAAAAAAAAACAATTCAAACAAAAACCCGATTCAACAAGAACCCACATAACAAAACCCGCAATTATTTTTCCCCACGGTATTTTGGTGCGTGCACGAGCACCGCTTTACTTTAATACAACGACGACTTGCCCAACGACAACGAAATCATTGATACGTACCACTGTAGACTCACACTGGATAAGGCTGCCCGTAATGATCCGACTGCGGTGGTGTATGGCAAGTACGTCATTAATTACAAATTCACAGTTCATACTGCCGGCCTTCCCGACGACTACGAAATTCTTCCGCCATTATCTCTCCCCCGTGTATTTTTTCCATAATTTTCTCCTCTTCTTCTCTTTCGTCCACTTCCTCCCATCCTTTCCATCCGTGTTCTCATCCTGTCCCATCCTCCCGGATTTATCCCCTCCCGCCCCTGCCTCTTGTATTGTTTTTCAAGTTCAAGCCTTCTTGCACCAATCACAATTTGTTTTCCATCGGCGTGTTTACCGGTCCGTAAGTGATTCATGTTTTGCTGCGTTATGCGAAGAATGGGAGGGGGCGTGCATTTGTTCTTGCATTTCTATATTTCTCTATGTGTTGTACCTGCCAAGCGCTCATCATGGATTCGCAAAATCGTTTGCCCCGCGCCCTCCGGCATTTCAGGGTGGTTTCGACCGCGGCATGCCGATTCCAAATTATTCGTTTCTTCCAATGTCAGCTCCGACAGCACCGCCGGTGCCCAAGCCAGGAGCCATGCGTATCTCGAAGGCCAGGTCGTAGACGTGAGAGATGTCTGCGTGGATGGTCACGGCCGGTACTTGCCCTTTCACCAAGATGATCCCTCGAAATTTGAAGTCGTGGCTATCGCTAGTAACAATGCTGTCATGGAAGATCTTATGAAGAAAGAAAAAGTCGTGCCCGTCTTCACGAAAGCGAGCGAGGATTGGAACCAGACTTTTTACAGGACAGAGGAGATCTTTCGGCTTATCCCTATGGCAGTATCTGATGAGGACAGGAACGACTTCATCACGGGCGTGAACGCAATCCACCAGAAGCTCAGCATCCCGATGGGCGAGTCTGTGTCCTCGTTCCTGAGTCAGCTCGGCGTGATCGCCGCCGTGCATCGTCATCTTCAGCTCCCGGTGCACAGCCGGCTGCGCGCAGGAATTTGTTCGAGACAGACTTCGGTGCCAATCGTGCTTGGGAGGCTGAGCCGGCGCGACAATCGCTGCCCAAGGATTTGATCGGTCTTGAGGTCCGTGACAGTGACCTTGATCGTGCAGGTAAGGTCGTCGGTCTCACCATGGGCCCGGACGCAGTCTTTTCAGTTCGCTGGGGCGACGGATTTGATGCCGAATTTTCTTACGATGAGATTCGCCAGCTCGACTTTCCAGGGGCATCTGTGCACTTCGACATCGGCGCGCCCAACCTTCGTGCCAGGAAGGGCATTCGCCGGAACAAGGGCGATCTTGCTGCTGCTTCGACTGAGTGGGATACGATCTGTTCTTCCCGCACGGACTGATCATCACAAGGATGGCTGTTCCGAGTTACCGGGCAATGTTGGCAACTCAGTGCTTCCAACAGTGCTTTCATAGTGCCGCACTTCGCGCGTATAGGCCTGCAGGCAAACAACTGTGTATGTCTCTCCTCTTCTGTCCTGCCATGCTGCTGCCGCCGTTTCTCCGCCCGGAAGTGGTTGTGTGAATGCCGCGATGAAGCCAGCGATGACGTGGCGGGTGATGTCGCGCGTGGCATTGCCCATCCCAGCTTCGACAAACTGGCTATTGTTGCTGCTGTTAGTTCCGTGTGTTTGCTCGTGTGCAATGTTGAGGCTGGCGAGAAGGATCCTCATGTGAAGTGCAATGATTCCCAACGTGTCATGCGCATTTCTTCCTCCTTCATGTTTTGTTTGAGCGCCGTTATTGTAAGCGTAACACTAAGTGTCATGATAAAACGTGGTTGTCTTCTGCTATTCACGTTTTGAACCACATTCGGGCTATCGTTTCTGTGAGGTGGATGGGTGTCTCGAAGTTTCGATGGCATCAGAAGATGTTGAACATGGTTCATGTTGCGTGTGTGTCCGTCCAGTGTGATCGCGTTGCTCGTCATGATTCGAGAAATGTTATTTACGTGTGGTTCTCTATGTGTCACAATTTCATGTACGTGGGAAAATCTAACAGGTCCTTTGTTGAGCGCACTAATGAGCACCATTACGCCCTGTTCTCATGCTGGAAGGATTCGCAAATTCCCGTTTACTACAAAATGCGGTCTCTCGGCGTTGGCTCCTTCATCCAGATGCCTCTTGTGTGTTTGTCCTCCAGTTCGGACGTGGAATTGCGATTCATAGAAAAACAGTGTGTGAGCGCATTGCATGCCCGGCTGATGCCCCGTTTGTTCACAAGTATGTGAAACAGGGTTGTCGTCAGCAGTGCCATACTTCTGTTGCCATCCGGGGGGGGGGGGGGGGCCTAAAACCCATCCGCCTGGTAAGTTTTCTCACAATCGGCGCCCCGTTCCTTCTTACTCGCATCTTCATATTTGCGCTGCCGATGATGCCCCAGCTGTGCATGACAATTCCACGGCTAATTTGCTTCAATCTAAATTGTCCGTCTTAGTGTGTCGTCCGGGGGAGCTGAGGCGCAAGGGTAATAATTGCGTGCAATTCCTGAAGTCGTTCATCGATCAACGGCCGGGGTTTGTTCACATGCTCGTTGAGCGCGTCGAGAAGAATCTCGTTGGTTCCGACTTGTCTGTTGCCCGCCGAAGGATTTTTCAGGTTTTGGGGGGCATGAAACGCACGCATCAGAGCAATTTTGTTGTCAAATTGCCTCATCTTCCTGGGTGTCGCGTGCGTGATATCGTCATGAGGTTGTTCCGTGACATGTGTGCTCCGTGTGTCCCTCGTGGTCATGCTTTTGCCGTGCGCGTTCGTCCTCTTTTCTCGCCTTCTCCTAAGGACATTCCTGTTAACTCCAAGTGGTGGGGCAAACGGTTGCAGTCCTATGACTTTCCGTGCGCATGCAGTGAATTGGGTTCATTACTCGGCGTTCCTTTGCCGGTGGACGGTCACGTGTGCGTGAGGGCTGAGAATAGTGGGAGTATCCCTCGTCATTCCCACTATGACGGCCCTTGTTTGGGGTCATGGGGGCATGTGATGAATGAAGTGCATTGATGAAAGCATGGGGGCTCTTGCAGATCGCCTTGTGAAGGCCGGTGTTCACGTGAATTGGAGCGCTTCCGATGTCCGCGCTTACCTTCGTGAGTTGCACAGTAATGCTTACGATTTTCGCCAGAAGGGGGTTCTTGAGCATGACGTTCGGGCTTGGAAGAAATTGTTTTCGCGTGCCGTTATTACGCCAATCGACAAATGTTCTTCTTCCGTTGCTCTGTCGTGTCCTCGTGGGTGGCGGCTCCGGGCCAGAGCCTGCGCGTTCAGTAGCAATCGTCCCGTGCAGTCTTTCATGGGTTGGAACGCTTTGCATAATCGATTCGGGGAAGCCCAGGGGCGCTTGAGATGCACTGGCGGGCGTCGTCTGCGCGTCTCCTGAAAGACATGTTTTTGGCACGATTGATGTGTGGCCTAAACATTCCGACCTCGCTCTCAAGAGTCGCCCGGTTGGTTCGTGCTGGTCTCATTGCTTGAAACCTTCGTTTTCTTTGTTGTGCCGCGTTCTTAATTTCATGGTCCGATTTGTCTATCCCGACTCTATCAGCGTCTTGTTTAACCAGAAAGTCATTGATACTTTTCATACGTTCAACCTCGACGTTGCCGATAATACGAGGAAAGGGTTGTGTTCATGCCTTTTAAGCGCGAAATTGACGGTTTCTTCAATAACGTCCCTTGGGCTTTAATGCATCGTGCTCTTGACTATTTGATAAGTAGGTGGAAAGATGTTGCCGGCACTCGGAAGATGTGCGTCCAAGTTCCCCGATATCGCCGTAAACCGGCCCCGCAAGGTGGCGCCCCTCTGTGCTTCTCGCGGGCGTTTAAGGGCATTTACGAACCCTGGCAAAACCTAGCGTTGACGAGGCTCGGCCGCGCAATTCCCGTAGTTTGGCCGCTGATAAGTACATCTTTCATGTTTCCGACATTTCTTGGCTTGTCAACTTTGATCTTGCACGCGGTTTCCTCCACCTTGGTAATGTGCTTGTGGCTCCCCACAAAGGGATGGCCCAAGGGTGCCCTCGTGCCCCTGGCGTGTGCAATGTTGCATGCTGTTGCCTTGAGTACGACAGCGCTCGGCTCCCGAAAGGCATCGATTTACACTTCGTGTACCGCGTTTCTTCTTTGAGGCTCCGTTGGGTTGATGATATTGACGGCATTCATTCTCTTTGGCCCCCTCCCCCAAATGCTGTTGATTATGCGTCTGGCCCTCCTCCGGAGAGACGCCGGATCTGCAAATCTTCTGGTCGCGGGTCAGTGTTTTTGGAAGTCGACGCTCTCTCGCAGCGTTTCGTTCGCCATGTGGAGGCCATGTGCACTGATGTTGTGCTGGCCCGGGCTCGTGGGAAGCACCGCATGAAAGCCTTCTCGTTGAAAATCGAGGGTGCCTGTGTTTTCGCAGGTTTGGACGTGAACGTGACAGGTGAGAGCGCGCCCCTCGCCCCCTACACATGCATCGGCGATCTGCTTCGTCAATCGTGCGTTTCCCTGGCCCGGCCTCGGTTCCAAGCGTTTCATAGCAACGTGCCCGTCTCTACTATGATGGGGGCCATCGAAGGCCATATCGTGCAGACGATTGATCGGTGTCTCGACTCTGACCCGTTTTCTTTTCTTGCCAATGTCATCATTGAGTTGCGTTGTCTAGAATGCACCTGGCCTGTCCGTGACCGGGTAATGAAACGAGTTTGCCGGAAGCATCCCTACCTCTCGCGCCTGAAGCAGGGTGTCTGTCTGGCGCGGTCGAAGATCGGATAATGTCCCTACTCTTGCCCTCTCTTGCCCTCCCTTTCTTATCCTCCCTTTCTTCCTTTCTTGTCTTCCCTCTCTTCCTCCCTCTGGCCCCCCCTCTCCCTCTCTTTCCTTCTTGCTTGTGTCGTCTGTGTGTGTGTGTGTGTTCTTTTGTGCCTCGTCTTGTTCTGTCAGCCAATAGGGGGGCTGAAGTTGGCGGCGTTCCTCCGGTGATGGGGGGGTTTCACGCTCACGTTCGCCTGTGTGTGTGTGTGTGTGTGCGTGCGTGTCTGCGCGCGCGCTGGCATGTTTGTGCGCGTGAACTGGCACGGACCGGCAGTCCGAATGTCCAGGTTCATTGTCTTCTGGTGATGGAGGGAGCTTGTTGCTTGTATGTGTACGTGAACTGGCGCGGGCCGGCTGTCCGAGTGTCCAGGTTCATAGTCTGCTGGTGCTGGAGGGATTTGCATTGTACTTGCTTGTATGTGTGCATGAACTGGCACGGACCGGCAGTCCATGTGTCCAGGTTCTTCGTCTTCTGGTGTTGGAGGGATCTTTGTTGCATTGTACTTGCATTCGTTGGTGCTTTGGACGGACTGACAAACCTTGTACTGGCGATGTGAGGAGTTTCCTTTTCTCGTCTGTCTTGCCTCCCCTTCTTCCTCCCTGTTGCCTCTTGCTGTTGCCTCCACGTTGTTGTACTTTGTCGTGTGTGCATGTGTGAGACCACAACCGCTCCGACGGATGAGTGGCGGGGCTCGCGCTTCTCCCCTGCCCCTGGTCTGCCGTGATAGTCTAGGGCGTGCTGTCGTCATGTTCCTGCATTGTGTATGCGAGCGACAGTAAATTGAGCAATTGTACAGCAATCCCGGCGGCGTCGCACTCTTATCGCATCGCAGAGTTGTTGCGTCATCGTGTGGCACTCCGCAGCTACAGCTCAAGGAAGTAGCATCATCCATCGAGATATCAACGACGCGGCATGCGGTATCCAACTGCTTGGCGCACCGATCGGGACCGATGCGTACGTGCAAGCACATGCAAGAAAACTGGCTCAGGAGAGGGAGAAGCTCTTACGGTTCCTTACCACTTCTACAAAAAGTTACGGACGAGAGGAAGAAGAGGAGGGGGGGGGATTAGGTAATCTCTAAGTCGTGGAGTAGGCGGGCCTGCTCAGCGAGCGCGGTAGTCCCATGCTGGGTACGCGAGACAAAAATAATCGGAACGGGAAGAACGGGAGGGAACCGGAATGGGGAGGAGCGATAATTGGGGGAATGGGAGACAACCGGGAGGAATGGGAAGGAGCTGGAATGGAAGAAGAAGAAAGGGGCCACAACCGGGGGAATGGGACCCAGAATGGGGGAAAATGATCGCAGTCGTCGTTCTGTTCCGGCCATCGTCGCCAGACCGGCTGGCCGGCCGGGCGGCCGCGCCATGCTGGCCGGCCACGCTGCGCCGGCCGGCGCCTCGGGGGCGAGCCCTGGTGTCCTCAAATCCTTTTTCGGCCGGCCCCGCCCCGTCCCCTCA